AAAACAGAAAATTCATTGTGCCTCATAAACGAAGACAGATAGGACATATTTTTATACGACTTTTTTTAAATTATTTTTAGGCGTACAATCAGATCCTGAAGTAGGTTTACAAGTTACGAAACACCCTGTATAGCTGGTTTGAGATGTCACACACAATTACGCGTACGTTTCAGCCGAAGACGCGTTGGGAGAATTGCCCACACGCGCGCCCTCGTGTGTTGCACTCGCGGTGGAATGTCCGACGCCTTCGCGCGATTCGCAAGAATTTCATTCTGAACTGCTGCTCGGTTAATTGCTAGTCGTATTATGAAAGGAGGGCAACACACTATGAACGTAACTCCTCTCTTCCCGCGGTGAAATCATCGCGGCAGGCGTAATTCTTGGGGACAAAGCAGACACTGATCGAAATGTTCCAAGTTCTGAGTAACTTTATCACTCGAATTCATCGATATTGTCTTAGTGTTTTCGCCTTTAAATATTTAATTAATTTTCTTTAATAGAGAATATATTTGGAGATAAATTATACTTTGTTAAGAAAAATAATATGCGTGTTTTATTGTGTGTTATTTAATTAGTAATTGTCGAAAATTTGAAGTAAATATACGAAGATAGGTAGGAGGATATGGTAGTTATTTAGTTATAGTCGTTTCATCATTCAGGTATGTCTCCGTTTTATTTAAAGTAAACCTTTTTTAGTCTTACGTTAAATTGTATAAAAGAAGCTAGCACTCGTCGATTTTCGAAATATCAATTTTTGAAAAAATGATAGTTACCTAAATTTGAGCATGTAATTTTCGTCATAAATTTCCAATTCTTTTTGTCAATAAAAAAAAAAAAAAAAAAAGAGAAAAACTCGTACGAATCGAAATTTCTTTTTTGTCAAGTAGGTCTTGAGAATATTGCTACAAACTTTTATCTAGTAGCCTTCAAGATATTTTTGCTACCGGTTTTGAAAGTTTCAACTCCGAGAAAAACGCTTTTCAAAAAAGTTTCAGTTATCTGTTACCATTAAACGTTAAATGACAAAAAATAAGTCGATTATTTCCTAGAGTGTTCTGGGAGAATCCTAAGCACAGAATATTTTTGGAAAATCGTTTTTTCTTGCTTTGCAAAAGCTATGTAATCCCTTCATGATAAGAAGCAGATCTTTGATGTGAAAAACGTAAAAAAATTCGTTCTGAATTTCTCGCACTACCTACGTCTTCTTATAAGAAAGAAGAAAATAAAATTTAAAAACACCTAAGCGAGAACGATTACAATTATTTTATCTTTGTCTTAAAAAGAAAAAGATTGAGGATTTGGCAGGCAGCTGTGTAAATGCCGGTTGCATAATCCGTTTAAATAATTCCTACTGTGAGAAGGGGGAGGAGAGAGAAACAAAAAAAAAATCGACAGTTGCCTCATCGAGCACTGGCTAATTTCGTTAATTATCTTAACGAGCTCGATATTATCACGTGCGGGTAACGATCCACGATAATTATTGCGTTACACGTACGAGGATATTCTTCGAGCCTTCGAGGACTGTATCTTGAACGTTTCGTACGCAATAACTTCCTGGAAGATCGTTTCAAGAAGGGTTGTTGCTGCCACAAACTAAGAAGCTACAAATTCCGGCACGAAAACGTTTCCTGGCTCGAAAGGAACTTATTACCACCGAGACTTATTAACGTTGTAGAAATGTAGAAGGAACGCGAGCCGAAAGACCACCGAGAGAAGGATATATATATTATCCTTCTCTCGGTGGTTTTAACAGAGGCACTATTAGGCGCAGGAAACATTAAAAGATGTTAATCGACCGAAACGATGAAAAGTATTCGCGAAACGAGGCGAGAAACAAAATTGAACCGCTAACAGACGAGCGCGAGTAAATTCGTACCGAAGACGAATGATCGACGAAATAAATACGCGTCACAATCGTAAATATATTAAATAATTAACTTTTTAGAAGATAAGCTCAAGTGAAACGAAAGTGAAAGTAAATGAGTGCGACCTAAAGTTGAAAAAAAATTTCACATTGGATCCGATCACGTAGATCTCGAAGAACGATCAATCCTTCACTTGTACAATCGAAACAACAATTTTTCGAGTTTTAACTTAAAAAACGGTAACGAAACGCGCGGCTTTTCGGTTATTTTTCTCGATCGAAAAACAAAAATATTCATTTGACCGACGAACAATAAAGTCCTTCCAAAATTTCCATGAACAGTCATCGGTCGGTTTACCGGTTTACGATCTACGCGGTGCAATTAAAACCGTTCGTTTCTTCGTCAGCCAAGGACTTTCGCTTCTCAGCGTTGCACGAGGTCAGGTACATACGAGGCCTCGTTTCACATTCGGGGAACACGAACGTGCGGCTACCAGATGACCGTACAATCGTGCTGATAATTAAAGGGGAACTGGTTTCATCGTTGAATCGTTCATAATTCGTGTCCCGGCCATTAGCAGTTCCTCAGCGATCGTAATCGTCGAACACGATCCCTCTTTTAGCGTGACAATCGCGAGATGTTTGCTTTCATGCTCTCTGGCATCGGTAGTTCTTCTTTTTCTTATTTTCTTTTTCGTTCGTTTCGTTCTTTTTCATATTCGATGGGGTGATGTGTTTGCGCCGAATGGGCGATTTTTGCAAGTGATTTTGAATCGAATTTGTTTTGTCGCAGATTCTCAAGATGTCGATCTGGACGCCATCCTCGGCGAGCTGTGCGCTCTGGAGCGTCGCTGCGACGGCGACATCGCCTCCACACCGGCACCCGACTCGCAGAGACAGAGCCGACCCAACAGTACCAGGATCACTGCAGGAGACAGTACCGATATCGGCAAAAACGAAGGAGGTATTTCGTTTGTACAAAATTCCACTTAATTGCAGACACTCTTCGCGCTAAAGCGAGGCGAGTGTCAATTTTTTAAATGGACTCGAGCGCGATTAGATTATCCGATAGATGGAAACGATCGCTGGCGATATTAAAAGACATTTGTTTGCTATCGCAGATCGTTCTTCAGGATAAAAATTGTTGTCGCACAGAAATATCAACTTTCACAGCTCTATGATTTTTTATTTATTAGTCTGACTTGCTAATCTTTACGTAAATAACAACGAGCAGAATTCTTTGGAGTGATAATACGGATGGAATATTAAATAATATTTACAGTTAAGTAACATTGAAGTATACTAAAAATTTATTAAATGAAATTTATCTCCTACTCGGCTCGAAGTCATTCCTACTTCAAACATTCTCCTACTCGTCGTCATCCAATTTGCAGAACCGCTCGTGTACCACTAGGTAACTGAAACGGTTACTCCAGAGTTGTAATTGCGAGGATGTTTGCACTTGTGCCCGTTGCATTGTTTAACAGCTGTCAAATATTTGTTCCAGCTATGCGCACCGATAGCCCTGACAATGACAGCGCGTTCTCGGACACGGTGTCGATGTTGTCCAGCGAGAGTTCCGCGAGCAGCAGCGGTTCCGGGCACAAACCACCTCAGACCGCCATGCACACAGGTCCCCAGCAGCAATCTCACCAGCTCATGGGTGAGTTTCGATCTTTAAAATTGTTAAAATCCAATATTCTTCTCCGATCGCGAAGTAAAGTCGTTGTCAATGTGTTTAAATGTATTTTGTTCAAGTCCGCTGATCTAATAACAACGTTTTAGACATTTTTGTTAACATTTCTGTTATTTAAGTACTTATGATTTTATTATCGAACCTTGCTTTCGACAAACTTGTTTTTGTATCATCTACCAGCAATTTGTTTACGAAGCATCAGTTCAAATAAAAATGATACAGTATTGAAAATAATCATTCAGCGAAATTTTGCTGATTATATCTCTAATATGCATATTTCTAATGTATAATTCAAAGCAACCATTAATTGCAGGTTTGCTGGAACAAGTATACAAGAATTAATGATACGTAGTTTCAGTTTCTGGAAAAATAATATTTTCCGCCATTTTTTAAATTTTTAGTAAGAAGCAATAAGAAGTCCAGTTTTATGTGAATTATTCCGAATTATGAGTGTCAATTGACTCAGGATAAACCTTCAAAAATTTTTTCTTCCTGTTTTCACTAGAGTTTTCACTCTAGTCGTTTTTTATTCAGACGTTATACTGTTATACATCGCATCATACATCAATACCACAAATTATAAAAAAAGGAAGGCTAGATTTACAGTCGAGTGCAAAGGGTTAATTTTGGCAAATTTATTTTCAGAAGATAAATTTTGTTTCATTCGTTGCACTCGTGTCCTTTGTAATTATGAAATTTTCATTTATAATGGAGAGTTGTATATTTTAAAGTATTACGAGATTTCTTTTTATTCATATTTTATAATTGCATTTCAATCTAAAATAATAAACTTTAATATTATATTAAATAATATTATAATTAAATATTAATATTAATAATATAATTAAATAAGTAATATTATAATTAAATAATTTATATAAATATTAAATAATATTATATTTAATATTATATTAAACCTTAAAAATTATTATATTTAATATTATATTAAAACTTAAAAATTATTTTCAATACCTTAATAATACTTTAATACTTTAAATTGTTAAATTATAATAATACCTCCAATCTAAAATAATAAATTGAAAATTATAAAAATCTAATACTTCAAAATCGTTGGCATAAAAATCTGGAAGCGAGTGTCTACGGAAAGCTTCTATTAAAAGCACTAACAAGATTAGCTTCGAACGTACTTGCTCGCTATGAGGAGCTAGCTGAATAACCTAGATCGCTGGATTTTCAACAAGAACTTTTTTTTCTTAAAAGACGCTGCGAGCCGAGCCAAGGCAGAGAAGATCCGCTTGGCGTTGGAGAAGATGCGCGAGGCCAGCGTTCAAAAGCTCTTCATCAAAGCGTTCACCTTGGACGGCAGTGGTAAAAGCTTGCTCGTCGACGAGGGGATGAGCGTGGCACACGTGTGCAGGCTTCTCGCTGACAAGAATCACGTGCCAATGGATCCAAAGTGGACGGTGGTCGAGCATTTGCCTGATCTTTTCATGGGTAAAGACGTCTTCCTTGCGTTATTATCTTCATAAAGAATAGAAAANTTGCGTTATTATCTTCATAAAAAATAAAAAAAAAAAAAAAAAAAAAAAAAAGAAAGAAAAGACATCTCAAGGTAATGATCTCATTTTTCAGAGAGGGTATACGAAGATCACGAGTTGCTGGTGGAAAATCTTTTACTGTGGACCAGAGACTCGAAAAATAAGCTGCTGTTCGTCGAGAGGCCAGAGAAAACTCAGTTGTTCCTCACTCCGGAGAGATTCCTCTTGGGCCCGTCCGATAGGAGCAGCGGCGAGTACGACGATCACTCGCGTAATATCCTTCTGGAGGAATTTTTCTCGAGCAGTAACGTCGGCGTGCCGGAGGTAATTAATTAATTGGCTGAAGTGCTGTTGATTTGTTACACGTTACACTCGCGACTCTATTTTATCAGGCCATTGTGTTTTATCAGAAATTACGAGAGCAGAGAGATAACGTTTTAATGCACGATACGAATCACGTGTACGGCAGTGAGCATGTAAATAAATTTTTGTTACACGATGATCATACACTATCGCCATTCTGTGTATAAAATAATAATTCAAATTATGGTACAATCGCTTCGGCTTTAATTATATAAATCGTTTCAATATTCAATATTCATTAAGTTTGTCAATTGCTAAATTTATTATTGTATCGATTATCTAGGTCGAGGGACCATTGTATCTGAAATCCGATAGCAAGAAGGGTTGGAAGAGGTACCATTTCATTCTCCGCGCGTCCGGCCTCTACTATTGGCCGAAGGAGAAGGCACGCACAGCGCGCGACCTGATTTGCCTGGCGACGTTCGACGTGAATCAGATCTACTACGGTATCGGCTGGAAGAAGAAGTACAAAGCCCCGACGGACTTCTGTTTCGCTGTCAAGCACCCTAGACTGCAGCAGCCGAAGTCCACCAAGTACATAAAGTTCCTCTGCGCCGAGGACAACGCGTCGTTGGAACGATGGATGGTCGGGATCAGGGTGGCCAAGTACGGTAGACAGTTGATGGAGAATTACAGAACATTGGTCGACGAACTTGCCCAGGAGGATCTCGACATGCTGGCCCACGCAAGATCATGCTCCGTCAGCTCGATCGCCGTGCCGGCTCAGAATCAAACCCAGTACAACACCACGAACGAGAACGCTCGCCAGTTCACGGAGAACTCGAGGCACAACGCGGAAGTGGCTAACGTCAGACAGTACGACGGCCAGAGGCAGAGCTACAATTCCGAGCAGCGGCAAAGTTACAACAACGACGGCAGGTTGAGCAGAGCCAGCAGCTCCAGTTCCAGCGGGTGTCTTTCCGACGGAGCGCCCAGTAGTTGCGAGGTGATTAGACAGATTTTCTCTAGAGATCGGTGATCTATCTAGACATCGAGTCACGCGATCTCTTTATTCAGTGGCCGAGGAGTCAATCTACAGAGTCAGTCTTTAGACTTTAATCGAAACGTTTGTTCCGTTAGAGAAGCAAAGTAGCTTTTTAGAAAAAGAAAGGTACTGTAGGTTTTTGATACGTGTACGAGTGTATAGAGTATATATACCATTTCAGAGAGACTAGAACGTTCTCGAACCAAAGCCTGAACTTATTTACTTTCGTAAAGTTGAATGGTCACGTCATAGGTTCATTTTATTTCGCGGTTTCAGGTAGCTTTCGAGTGTGGCGAGTTCCCGACGGGCACGATAAAAAGGAAGCCCTCGATGAATCCAAAATTGCCCCTAACGTCGATCACGAGACAATTGAAGGAAGTGGGCGAAACGGTTCGCGACGAGCCGGACTCTTGCCCGAGTCCAACAAGCTCGGGTTCTGGTACGTTGACCAGAAGGCACAGTCGAAGAAGGAGCGGTACCGATTCGGATGGATCCGGAACATTGAAGAGACATCACCGTTCTGGTAACGCGACTCCGGTCAGTCCTGTACCGCCTGGCACGCCGGTCAGAGAAAGAGCAAGTCCAATGGGATGTAACAGATCGGAGAGTCAGGAATCAAAGACACCGACGAGCCCGATACCGTCGTGCATGGTGAGTATTTGTCGCTATTAAATTTGAAGGTTTAGACGAATAGTAAGAGCCATGCCATCGAGTAGTAAGAGCAATCATCAAGGTAACTATTTTGGAAAAGGATGACACGAAATTGTGTTACTTTTGCAGATGGATTCGATCACTTCGTTACCACCACCGCCGTCACCCTCGAGAGTCGCGGAGGAAACAGAATCCGACAACGAGCCACTTCCTCCACCTCCGCCAGAGATGTTCCGATCGAACCTCTCCCTGGACTCTCTACCACCGCCTCCAGCACCTGGTGAGCTGCCAGTGTGCAACACTCCAGAGCTCACCGGTTCTTCGTTGAGCCTGGCGTCTCTCCCTCCGCCACCGAGTCCATTGGTCGGCGAAACAGGAACAATTCGACGCGCCAGACCCAAGCAGTCGACGCCTACGAACTCGATAACTCCCGAGAGCACACCGACGCACACGTCGTCCAAACCGTCGACCAATCAACAGATGTACTCGAACGCGAGCAACTCGGCGATACAGAACAGCCAGAGCTACAGTTCGAACGCGCCAAACGCTCATCACGCGAGCAACGCGGCGAACTCAGTGCCCTCTCCGCACAGTTCCTACCCAGGCTCCAGCGCCAGCACACCGACCTACGCTCCGAGTTCACCAAACTTCGCCTCGCCCCCGCCGTTCGTTCCTCCGCCTGCTTACGGATCCCAGCAACAGCACAGCAACACCAGTTCCAGCCTGACGAGGCAAAATTCGAAGGCAGACTCGATCTACGGGACCCATCCGTTGGTCCACCAGCACAACACGGTCCAGCCGATCAGGCCAAACCCGAACATGGACACGGTGCGACGAAGTGCCATGAAGCAAGGCTCGAGCCATTACGCGGCTCCTCCTTATCTCGCGGAGCTGAAAGCTGCCTCCAGTCCTCAGCCACAGCGTAGGGTGACCATTCAAGAGCCACCGACGTCGCCCAAGTCGAAAACGGGAACAGGCAAGAAGATCACGTTCAATCTTCCGCCACAGCAGGAACCAGGGAGCCCAGCACTGCCGCAAAGGAAGCCGATGCCACCGAGAAGGTCGGACAGCACGAGGCTCACGTCTCCAAAGAAGCTCGCTGCGTCCGATCAAGCGCCGCCCGGTGATTTCTTGAAGGATCTTCAGAGAGTGATGAGGAAGAAGTGGCAGGTTGCGCAGAAGTGTAAACTCGACTCGACCACCACTCCACACGAGGTGCTCGGCTTTCGCGATCCACCGCCCGCCGTGGCCGATTACAGAGAGACCAACGTGTCCAATTGGGTCCAGGAACACTATGGGGCCGACAATTTGTACGAGAATGTGTACGCGACAGATCCGCACGCACCGGTGGAGTACGCGTCGAGCCCAGCTAGGCAGTCGACCGTCAGGTTCGCTGACGAAAATCGCAGCATCAACATCGTGAACGCGATCGCCAGTAAAAGGAGGCCGCCACCACCGCCGCCGAAAAGGGCGGAAACCACCCACTTGACCACCACCAGGGCGATGCACTGACAATAGCAGATACTTCAGCCCCATCCCGAAAGGCGATGGTTTTGCTGTTTGTGCAGCTGGTGGAAGGGCTAACAGAGAGCGAAAGTAACACTCTTCGCTTTCTTCTCTGTGATTTGGTCATCGATTTTTTCCAACATCCTATAATAATCGTTGACCGTCCTCCAACGTTGTTACGCCTGTCCGTTATGCCTTTCGAAACAGGCGGCGAGGAGGAAAGCGGAAGATCGACGACGATTATCCTCGAAGAAAAGTTCAAGCTTGCGTGGAATCAGCTTTGAGGCTTGACCTGGAGAGATCACCTGTGGTGTCTGTCTGGAAAATTCAAACAGCCGCGGCCCGTTTTTCTAGGATAATCGATGTACAATCGGTAGGGTGCCGAGAACGAGGAGAACAAGGATCGATCGATACTGCCAGAGTGAAACTTCTTTTTAACGACGAGTCTTTTGGTATATCGCGGTATATCGGAGCTATAGCAGATATCAGCTTGTCACAGAGTATCGATCGTGATTTCAGCATCAATCTCAGCGCCGATATCTCAAGTCCATAGGGCGCGAGGGAGAGACAAATACTGCCGCACATATTGACGATGTGATATAATAAGTCTTAAGCTGCTGACTTTTTTTCGTTGTCCCACCGGAGACACCGGGGGCCGACGGTTGTCGATTCGCGAGCGATTTCGATCGTGATTTTCATCTCGATTCCGCCACCAGCTCCGCGACTCTTCTCGGTTGGTGGCGGTCGAATTTAGAAATAAGAGGAAAAAAATAAATAAATAAATAAATAAAGAATGGGAATATACGCACGAGATTCGCGGTCGCATTTTTGTGTGCAAGTTAAATAACGCAGAGTTAACTAGGCTTAGCTAAGTATCTCTGGTATCTGCTGACGTGCGTTTAGGCGAGAGACGGATGGACGGTTGTTTTTCTCTTTTCCTTTTTTTTCTTTTTTTTTTTTTTTNTTTTTTTGCGTTACTCCGAAGGAACGATCGCATCGTGACGCGAATAGAACGAATAGGTAACCAGATGGTAATTTTTTGTTACTTGGTGGAGAAGGTGCTTCTCGAACGCGTGAAATGGAGAATTAGATACCGTTCCACAGAACCCTACACACACACACACACACACACACACACACACACACACACACACACACACACACACACATACACATAAGATGAACACGTACTGCGTTTTTTAAAAGCCTCGTGCATAGGTGTGTATGTATATAAATGAAACACGTATGAGCGTTTATATCAATATATCGACTTTTTGATGCTGTATGTTTAGATGATATCGTACGATATATGAAATATCCTCTACGACGTGTAACGCATAATCTATTTCGATGGGCCTCGATCGTGAACTTTAACGCGTGACGCTATTTGCTCTTCGTCGTCGAGGTTATTACACACACGCAACAACACACACGCGGCACAAACACACACACACACACACACACACACAAAAGAATACACGACCAAGGAATTTGTACGACCAACATTAACGATTGTTACGCTGACTCTTTCAAGATATCACGCTAAAGATATATCTCGTTCGTGAAATTTTCATCTCTTCTTTCCCGTTCTCATTTCGCTGATTCAACCGTCGAAACGATGATTCGAATCAATGAAATTGGAACGTGGCTCTCGAGAAACTTCGAAGCGATTGGAATAATTTCGTCGGCGGCTCATTGACTCGACGAATCCCAGGGAACACGTGGACCTCGAAACCTTATTGCATTAATATTTCGTCGATGTATTTTTACTGACCGTACGTGTTGATCATTTGTCCCAATGGCAACGAGAACTCAGTGTCGTTTCGTTGGGACAATTTGTTACGTCGGTAATTTGATGCGCGAACGATCTTTTACCTAGTTCGGCTCGCTATTTCCACTGGTCCACGTATCTGAAATTCAGAAGGTAAATCGAGAACGATCTCGGAGAGCATTCATCGACTGTTCCATTACACCCATACCTGTTTCAATCATTCGTATCAATATGAACCGAGAGCAGACACGCTCTACTATATCGTTTTATACAACCATATCGATTAAGAGCAATACGAGAACCTGTAGCACTCGTGTGTGTGTGATCGCCAATGGGACTTTCGAACGCAAACGGGCCATCAAACAATCGAGCGATAACTATTGTAACTTTTTATATATCGAACAGGCTATAGCGAGGAACACGAGGCTGTTTTACATTGAGCGAAAGCGGCGTGACGTCTTTCTCGTGCGTGAGCGCGAATTTCCTCTCTTCAGCGAGAAATACGACAGCGAGATCCCCGTATCCTCGTCGAGTACGCGTTCTACATCCGCGGCTCACGCTTCGAGGAAGAAGAATTAGAATCGACGAACCTCGAACGGAGTCTCGCCGAGTCGAGAGAGAGAGAGAGCTTCTTGCGACGTTATATATATATATATACTGGAGGAAGCGACGAAGATGCGATATTTTCTACTAGCCGATTTTGAGACGAGGGAGCTAGGGCGTCGAAGCGAGACTTTTTCACGCGTATCCAGTGCCTCTCCTGGTGAGCTTCTTTTCTAATAATAAAAACCGAACAACCGACACGCGAGACTCCTGCAACCATTTCCCTGTGTGGAGGATCGTTCGCAACGGACGAAAGGAATCCGGGGTAGGGTTTCGAACGTCGATTTAGAATGGTAATCGTCTACCGTGCACGCGGTCCAATTAAACTGAACCAATAATAGTAACACTAATGATATCGATAACAAATGTTCTCTCGTTTTCTTTTTTTTTTTTTTTTTTTTTCTCGGGGACTAATCGTAACTATCGACCTTAACACGTGTTGACACGACCATCGCGCGTGTCCGTGTCTTTTACAGACTTTTATGGGACTCGCGTTTCTACCGATCGATCGATCCCTGGCCGGCTTTTTCCGCGTTCGGGACGGTCTGCTCGATCATTGACTAGCACCACGTGCAGCTCTTTCGACGCAGTTGCTCCAGATTGAAAAGGAGAACTAAAATACAATACGATTCGAAAGGAAAGAGGATGCAAAGTGACGAAAACTCGAAGAAGGCAAACTTTTCCATTGGATGAAGCAAAAGGACTTATCTCGAATTCAAGTGAAGTTTCTTTATTTTTCAGCTGTATTTTCGATTAGGATTTTTGGTATCTAGCGTAAGCAGTTGTAGAAAGAGAGAGAGAGAGAGAGAGAGAGAGAGAGAGAGAGATTGTTTTTCTTATAAATAAAATCTCCGCGAGGATAGTTTTTTTGTTTTTTTTTTTTTTTTTTATTAATTAAATCGAGCACTTATGTAACCCACACGATTCGAGCGACGTTTCTTGCAAATGCTTGTAATTATTTTGTAAGGCCCGATTTATTTATTTTAATTTTTGTATATAATAATTGTGATTCTAAAGTTGGTACAAATATTGAATAAAAGTATGTAGAGAAACGAGCACGATGTTTTTTTAAGTTTGTGTCTTGATCTGACGCGTGATGAAATGGTGGGACGTTTTCTTTTTAATCAGAGAATCGGCAGTCGGCTAAACGTTTGGGTTACAAAGGGCAGTTGCAAGGGCGTAGAAGAACATATTTAACACAAAGCAAAACCATTATTGTCATTAGCAGAATGGAAGGAATCTGCGAAGGATCGTCAGAAATTTTTGATACGTTTTCTACTAATCGTCGATCGCTTGACGACACTTTTGAAAGAAGTTGCCTTTTCTCCGGAGCAACCTCGCGCGCCACGTGGTCCCAGTTTCTCGGAACTTTTGTAAGAACAGCCGGCGCGCCGGCGTGAAGCAAACAACTCCTTTTTATACCCGTATACACTTTAAGGAACATTAATCGAGCTAAATGACATGGAAGAAAGAAATAGAACGAAAGAGAGAGAGAGAGAGAGAGAGAGAAAGAATGCGAGAGAGAGAGAGAGAAAGAGCGAGAGAAAAAGCATGTCGACAAAACAGAGCAAGCAGGTAGCTTTAGCGGTAGATTGCGTGCTTGATCGTTTCCGTAGCGCTGATGAACGCTGATTTAGATTGGACGCCACGCGCTTCGATCGATACGGGACTTATCACCCGCGATTTATCGATCGAACATCACGCGAAGCGATGGAAAGCTACGACGTCGCACGACTGCGACGTCGATCGACTGGAAAATCCCTTGCTTTTTTTTTGGTGGAAAAAAAAAAGGGTCGAGTGCAATTGTCGAGGAACTTGCAAACGGGAGAGCTTGATGCACGATAGTGAGTGAGAGAAGGAGGTTCGAGGATGGTGTGTTCTTAACGATGACAAGACGAAGGAAAGAGAGAGAGAGAGAGATACCACCGTATCGTCGTACCATACTAACATTTTCGTTTCTTCTTTCTCTGATACCGAACTATACCCTGTGTTGTACGTACGTAAATACGTTTTTTGTAAATATTGTAACGAACGGACAGAGAGGCAGAGTGCAAAACGACGGGCTGAGAGAAATGAAAGATGTTTTCGAAGGGGGTTTGTTGCGAGACGCCTGGCGATCGATTTTAATAATAATAAACGCACTATTTATGACGATGAGGGGAGAGCGTGATTTTTCGTTTTTGTCGCGCACCGCATCGAGGGGACAGAAGGAGAACGAATTGTAACGCGGGAGGGCGCGCGAGAAAAAGAAAAAAGAAGGGAAAAATAATATAGAGAAAGGGAGAAGGTCCAGGTCTTGCGAACGGGGGGCTCCACTGCGTTTCGTTTGATTTATCTGGTTAGCTGGTTTGGCCGACGAATAGAAACGGGGACCTTTTCGGCAACACCACTGTGTTTGCATCTTATCGATTTACGATTTCTTTTAAGTCATAACTTTTTTCCTTTTTTCCTTTTTTTTTTCTCTCTTTTCTTTTCTTTAGAGGTTAGACCCGTTTAATGGTTGTTTCTCTCGCTATTTCTTGTCTTTCTCTCTACTTTTCTTCCTGTCTTCTTCTTTCTCTGTCTTTTTCTTTTTTTCTTTTTCTGGACTTTTTCGCGACGTTGAAGAAAGAAAGAGGGGAAAATAAAGAGAAAAAGAAAAATAAATGCGACAATATCGATTAGGTTGGAAAGATCTATCTCGACGCCGATTGTTTTTTTTCTTGTTTTTTTTTTTTTTTGGATATATCGACACCGGATGGAAAAGGAATAAAACACAAAGAAGAAGAAGAAAAAAAAATGCAAGCAGCAGTTGAAATATTATAGGTATTATATTCATGTTTTTATGTAAATAAATTTTTGGTATATTTCAACCGATCGCCCATTTTCTTACCCTTTTCGCCATTGCCATCCTTCGAAAAGAAACTACGAGGTAGTTTAATCTTATCTAATTCTTTTTCCTAGTAACACTGTTCGATATCTTTCGATATATTTATTTAATACTTTTAATTTAGATTCCAGATAGAGGAACCAAAAAAAAAAAAAAAAAGAAAAATAACAAACGAATTCAAGCGTGCCAATAGATCAAGCATCACTGCTCGATGTATCATTCGATATATTTAATTTAAATTTCAGTTGAAAAAACCAAGAAACGACAAAGGAATTCAAGAGTGCCAATAGATAGTCTCGCTCAGGGAATGTATTTCAGTTCTCCACATTCACGCGTAATATCTTTAGGAAGAGATCTCGATTCTTCGATGGGTCGAAGAGAGAGAGAGAGAGAGAGAGAGATTCTCCAGCGAACGCGACTGATAAAACTGTGCTCGTTGCTGTTCATAAAGCGCGCCAATAAAAACGCCTCGTTTTTTAATATTCCCGTGGTGCAGCAAGCCAAGTACGCATAAACTGT